GTTAGTATTTCATAGATCACCTAGGCTTTCTTTTTTCTTTGTTCTCTTCCAACTGGAATATTTCAAAGTTTCTGTCTTCTAACTCACAGATTCTTCTGTTGAATCCATTCTGTTGTTAATGCTCTCTATTGCCTTTTTTTTTTTTTTAAATTTATTCATAGTGTTCTTAGGCTCCAGAATTTTCTTTGATTCTTTTTTTAAAATGATTTTTAACTTTGTTAAACTTCTCATTTTTTAATGCATTATTTTACTGATTTCATTGAATTGTCCTTCTTTGCTTTCTTGCAGTTTATTAAGAGTCCTTAAAACAGCTATTTTGAATTCTTTATCTGGTAACTTGCAAGATCTCCATTGTCTTTGAGATGAGTTACTTGAAGATTATTGTGATCTGTTGGAGATATCCTGTTTCCTGGATTTTTCATGTTCTTTGAAGTCTTGTGTTGCTGTCTTCACATTTGAAGTAGCAGTACACCCCCTCAATCCTTGCTAACTGCCTCTGGGAGAGAAGCACCTTCCATTAGCCCAGCTAGGGATGCTGTCTTTCAGACCTTCTGTGGATACATTTGCTTCACGTTTCTTGCTCCCTCTTGTGGTAGAATTCCTAAGCTCCATGCCTTTTCTGCATCCTGCAATGCAAAAAAGGTGGGTACTGACACTCCCTTTGTTTTCTAAAAGTGGCGCTACAACTCAAGTTTATTGTCTCTCCTTGGCCCATAGATGTCCCCCCATCCCGCCCCCCCTCGTGTGTGTGCTCACTATTCCTTTGCCCAAACTGGCTCTCACCACCACTGGGAACACACAGGGAGCTGCTCAAAGGGTAGAAGTGTGTGTGGATGAGGTGGATGAGGTGTGTGGTGTGCTGGGTGCCTGTGGGCCAGTTGTGGATTCTGCGGGTCACTCTAGCCGGTCAGGGGCAGGATTCTTGATAGAGTCTGTGCTGCATTTAGCAGTGTTGATGTCCCATTAAGTTCATCTGAGAATTCTATCTCCTGCTCTCCCAGCCTTACTCTGGTCGGGACAAGAGAGAAATAGACTCCTTAGCAGCGTCTGGCACAGCTGGGGAAGCTGGGTGCTCACTCAAGTGCTCTCACTTTCTCCTGTGGGAGAAATCATGGCTTAAAAGGTCTCTCTTGGCCCTAAGTTGGGCCTTATGGGAGGGGTGGTCAAACTGTTCCTCTTACCCTCATATTTTTAAAATATATATTTTATTGATTTTTTTTTACATAGAGTAAGGGAGAGGGATAGAGAGCTAGAAACATCGACGAGAGAGAAACATCAATGATGAGAATCACTAATCAGCTGCCTTCTGCACACCCCCACTGGGGATCGAGCCCACAATCCAAGCATGCGCCTTGACAGGGAATCTAACCATGCCCTCCTGGTTCATAGGTAGATGCTAAACCACTGAACCACACTAGTTGGGCTCCACAATGTTTTTATGGGAGTTGTATTGAACAAAGCACACCTGCTGGCTCAAAGGCACTGGGAAGTTCCAAGTGAAAAGAGGCCTCTGGGCTCTCAACTTGCTAGGGCAGCCAAAGTTCAAGAGAATTGCTCAAAGGGGATGTTTTTCAAAGTGACCAAGAAAGTTCTGGAAGAGGAGGGATATCCCAGAGGGCAGAGGCAAGAGTCAGGATGGGAATGTCTCACCTCATCCAGGAATACTTCCCACTCCTGGGCGGCCTGCAGACAGTTCCCTGTGGGTTTCCGAATTGCTGTAGACAAGGGATTGCTGGGTGTATCCCGGGCTTCCCCTTTCCAGAGGGAAGTGTTTCCTGTGGTTATCCTTCCTTCCCCAGCTCACTGGGCAGGGTGGCTGTGCAGGGGAGATAACTCAGTCTTTTAATTTGTGGGTCTCTGGATCCAGAGGAGCTAGCTGCACCTGAGGCGCCACAGCCAACCTAGTGCAGATCCCAAGACCCTGGTCTTTGAGCCTGATGTTGGGTTGGAGGGGACTTGTGGGGGTGTTCGGAGGAGGTACGTGCTCTCCAGGTGAATAGATATGAATCACTGGGGCCAGAGGATGGACTGTGGCAGATAGGACTCTAAAAAATGCCCTCAATGTTTCACCAGCTCCTTTGCTCAGGCCCTTTGTATGTGACTTTGCTGCACCGCTCGTCAGGAGGGCCAGTTTATTACCCCATCCTGGGATCCTAATGCCCCTGTGACTTGTTTTTTATGGTCAATAGACTATGTCAAAAGTGCACTAGTTCTGCCTGGATCTCATGAGGTTTGTGGGCTTTTTCCTGATTCTGCTTACCAGGCACACTATATCCATTGCCCTTCTGGGGGACAAGGGGCCAGATGGAATAGAGATGAGCCATCCCAGGCCATTCAAAACAGCTCGTTCTCTTCCAGCTAGGTGGTTGGCCAGAGGCACAGAGCACGGCTCATTCAACACCAGAAGAACCACCCAGCTAAGTGCAGCTTAGACAGCCAACCCACAGAATCGAGCTAAGTGAATGCTGTTTTTGGTCACAGGATTTTGTGTTTGCCATGCATTGTTATGGCAGTGGAGAGCAGATAGAACTACTAATAACACAACTACCTTCTTTGAGAAAAATACTGTTAGGTTTGATGGAGCAATTGAATTGATACCCCTCCTCTTGGGGACTGACTTTTCAGGTCATTTCACTATGGACTTTTGATCACATTTCACTTGCGGTGACCACAGTCCATTATCTTCCTCCGAGTATGCACAAAGAAGTCTCCACCCAGAAAAACGACCGCCAAAAATCCTTTAAGAGCCGCTGACTCCCATCACTGGGGGCTGATGGAATAAAATAAATTCCTAATCCCTCACCACTCTGGCCTCCTGTGTTCTCCTTCGGCGACCTAACAATCACCAAGAGAGAAGGTATGAAACCAAGTCATTCTCCATTTTTATCAAAGCTGTAAATGATTAACATACCCTAATTGCTTTTAAAATTTCATAGAATTGAAAACTTGGTGATAATTGAACTAGCCATATTAAGAAATTAAAAAATAGACAAATTACATAGAACTGAAATTCAAGTTATGAGTTTTGGGTAATATGCTAAGATAATTAGATAGTAAAATATCAACGCATCATAATAATGATGACATTTATAGTTTACTTATATATGACTAATGATGATGAAATCCTCTTAAACAATACTTTTGCAGGCAAACGTTAATATCTAATAGCTCACAACAAAAAAAGTAGTACCAGAAGAGACATAAAAAAGGAAAGATTATGAAAATAAGACTTAGCTTAAAAACATTTCAATTCAGCCGAAACCGGTTTGGCTCAGTGGTAGAGCATCGGTCTGCAGACTGAAAGGTCCCAGGTTCGATTCCTGTCCAGGGCATGTACATTGGTTGCGGGCACATCCCCAGTAGAGGGTGTGCAAAAAGGCAGCTGGTGGATGTTTCTCTCTCATCGACGTTTCTAGCTCTCTATCTCTCTCCCTTCCTCTCTGTTAAATATCAATAAAATATATTTTAAAAAACCAAAAAAAAAAAAAAATCCAAAAAACATTTCAATTCAGACTTGATTAAAATTAAAAAGCAAGATATGGGTTATCACGGAATTTGATAAGAAAACAGCTCTTGAGGCAAACAATCTTGTTTGCATAAGTACTGCAAGAAGTGAAAGTGTGAGGCAAGTGACTTCGCATCTCAAAAAGATCCAAATGATTGAGTTGTGCTTACATCTGACGGCCAAGCACAGGTCTCTCAGTTTTCATGTATGCACTGCCCCGTGTCCTGTGGGCCAGACCTCGTGTGGTTTCATGGTGCATGATTAGGATTCAGAGCCGGCCTACTGGGTCTAAAGGAAAAGACCAACATCAAGCAAGCGTTATCGCGTGTGCTGTGTATTCCCCCTAGACAGACCCTGAATCGCCTAGAGCAGTGTTTGCCAAACTTCTCTCATGATGAGAATCACCCGGTGGAGTTGTTAAACTACAGATTCCTGGATTCCCAACTAAGAAGTGCTAAACTAGAATTTTTGGGAACCTATAGGTAAAATTGTATACTTAACTAGTGCTCTAAGCTTAATAAGTTAAAATAGCAGATAAATACCATGCACACTATATCCATTACCCTTCTGGGGGACAAGGGGCCAGATGGAATAGAGATGAGCCATCCCATTAAGCTTAACTTATTAAGCTTAATAAGTTAACATAGCAGATAAATAAGCAGGTGCTCGCCGGCCTGGTGCAGCCGCTGGCCGAGGACGTGGAGGCTCTGAGCTTGCCCGAACTCACGTACGCCCTGAAGACGCGCTTCAAGGTGCTCAGCAAGGTCCAGATGCCGCCTTCCTACCTGGATGCAGACGCCAGGAGCCAAAACTCGGTACGTGCCGGGAGCACAGAACGGCCCTCTGAGCCGGAAGGAGCTTGTGCGCCCTTCCTGGGAGAGAAGGTAACTCAGGGTTGGTTAGCATCGGTGTGAGGACTGGGAGATCTGTAAGTAAGATCTACAATACGCTTCTCAAACCCTCCCTCCATGCCAGTTCTTAGCATGGATGTTAGCCCCTCCCCTTGCCCACGGGGTGAGTGTGTGAGGGACTGGAGTCTCAGCCCACAAACTAGTTACCGACTGCTGCCTCGGTTGCAAAGTTAGTCCTTACTTTCCCCCAAAGCTACTGAGATCACCTGCGTTCACTGGGACAGAGGCTTGGCTCTCGCTATCGGAGAAAAATGTTCTAAAAGTGACTTAAGATATACACTTACGTATGTGCCGTCTACAAATTAAAAAGAATGTCTCAAAAACTGCATAATACAGTTTTATCTATAGGTTCCCAAAAATTCTAGTTTAGCACTTCTTAGTTGGGAATCCAGGAATCTGTAGTTTAACAACTCCACCGGGTGATTCTCATCATGAGAGAAGTTTGGCAAACACAGGCCTAGAGACAGGAAACCCTGTTTGGAGGATGGAGAGAGAGAGACCTTCTACGCATGCGCGGGGTCGGCGCTGTCACCGGTGACCTGTCACCTCGCTGCGCCTGCGCCTGCGCGCCACGTCACTTTCCGGCGCGGTCGGGGCGGAGGCGCGGGGCGGCGCACGTGGGTGCTGGCGCGGCGGCGGGGCTTATGGCGGGCTCGGCTGGGCTGGCTGTGTGCGGGCAGGCGCTGGTGGTGCGGGGCGGCAGCCGCTTCCTGGCCACCACCACCGCGAGCAGGTGAGGGTCCGGCCTCGGGGCGGGGAGCCGGGCCGCGGGCGCGCGCCGGGGCCTGGAGACCCCGGGGATTTCCCTGCGCCCGGGCTGCGCTCGTGCCGGGGGGCCCCCGCGGGAGTCCCGCCGCTACTCGGGGCCCCCCGCTGCCCCCTCGGCCTGGCTGCGGGCCTGCACCGATTCCTTCCAGCCCTTCTCCCTAGAACCGCCCGGGCGCTCCCCGGGCCACCTGCCCAGGGCCCCGCCCCCTCGATGGCTGGTCTGGTTGCTCTGGGCTGGGTTCTGAGGGGGCCAGGTGGGACCCAGCGATGGGGGTTGGATGGGGCCAAAGCGGGGTCCCGGGGACGCCCACCAGATCGGAGCGTGGGAGGGAGGCAGCCTGGTTGGAGGGGCTGACTCGGGCGCACTCCTCTGGTCTCCCTCGCCCTGCGTGATGCCTCGCTTCCTCTCCCTCCTCTGCATCTAGCGACCCCGCCCTACTCGCTCTTCAGGATCCGAGGGTCTTCAGCGACCACTCCTTACTCGCGGGTGCACTCGGAGCCCGCAGCGCTCACCTCCCTGGTGGCCCTTCACCCAGCTCTGCTTTTGCTTTCCTTAGGGTGCCCCAGCGTGTACACAGCGCTCGGGATTTTTAAATATATATTTTATTGAATTTTTACATTGAGGAAGGGAAAAGGATAGAGAGCTAGAAACATCGATGAGAGAGAAACATCGACCAGCTGCCTCCTGCACACCCCCCACTAGAGATGTGCTGCAACCAAGGTACATGCCCTTGACCGGAATCAAATCTGGGACCTTTCAGTCCGCAGACCATCGCACTATCCACTGAGCCAAACCGGGTTCGGCAGCACTTGGGATTTTTAAATCAGGAAATGTTTGTTGCTCCCTTATTCTTGACTCGGGAGCCTCAGGGATGTTAGTAGTGGTCCGTCTCCACCCCTGTTTCTTTTCTCAGGGTTTTGATTCTCATGCTTGAAGTGGACAACGCGCCTAACAAATGCACTATCCTTGCTCACTGTTCAGTGTCCTGGTTTCAGAACTCCCAACTCAGTGTTACATTTACACACCAACCTGTCACGTATCCCAGATTACTTTGTTTTCGAGGCTCCCAGCGTCTCACACGTGCCACAGGGAGACATCCACAGTTTCTGACTTGGAGGACTACTCTTTCCTCTGCTCCAGTGCTCTCTGTGAAGAGTTTAAAGGGCAGTCACTTTAAAAGCTATACGCTTGTACAAGATGCCTTCTGTGTTCCAGAAGGGGTGAGGGGGAGGTGAGGAGCGGCAAGATATATAGCAGAGAACTTAGGGTGTCATGGGGAACATGGGTGGCTCCTATATTGGTCAGTGCTTGGCAGCCAGAGGTGCTTTTTTGGGTAGGTGATACAGAAATAGCAGTTTTAAATCTGGGTACAAAAAACCCACTGAAAACAATATCAGAACACACTTCTTCCAACATAACCATTTTACATGGATGTGCTAGTGCTGAATACTTCTTTGACTTTTGTTCTCACTTGTTTTACTAAGCGGATTTTTGTGCAGGACCGTGGCAGCTGTGTATGGCGAACCCGAATAGAGATGAGGCGGATAAAGCTCCATAACTGTTGCCTGAGGTAGCGAACCCAGACAGTTGTGGCTGAGACCCTTAACTTAATGAATAGGCCAATATTTGTCTGTTCCAGGGAAATAAAAGAAATGAACATTTTAATTAACAAAGTACTTAAAAAAATCTTTTTATTTTTTTTCAGTGATGAAGACGACAGCCTCTTCACATATGATTGCAGTACTGCGGAAAAGAAGTCACAGGAAAATAAAGGGTGAGAGAGTGGGGAAGCCTCCTCGGGACTCGATTCATGGTTTGAGTGGTGGGACCTGACAGTCTAAGAAGGAGATGGTTGTCTCCTCACTGAGCTCTTCCTTTCTCTTTCCCTTGCTGCGTAGAAAACTGGGTATCTCAGGAAAGAAATGTGGAATTTTCGAATTAGGCATTAAGAATATTAGGACTTTTCTAAGTACTTAAAAAAAATATTTTATTGATTTTTTTACAGAGAGGAAGAGAGAGGCATAGAGAGAAACATCGATGATAGAATCATTGATCAACTGCCTCTTACACACCCCCTCCTGGGGATGTACCCACAACCAAGGTACATGCCTTTGACTGGAATCGAACCTGGGACCTTTCAGTCCGCAGGCTGACACTATCCACTGAGCCAAACCGGTTTCGGCTCTAAGTACTTTTAACTAGTTTTTGTCAATAATGATCTTATTGGCACTTTGAAATAAGGCGATCAGTTTTAAGTGCATTGGGGGCAGTTGCATGAAATTAACTTAGCTAATTGAAAGGTAAGAAAAGCAGAGTGTGATGGTTTTATTTATATTTATTTTTTAAAATATATTTTTATTGATTTCAGAGAGGAAGGAAGAGCGATAGAAACATCCATGATCAGAGAGAACCATGGATTGGTTGCCTCCTGCAGGCCTCCTACTGGGGATGGAGCCCACAACCCGGTCATGTGCCCTTGACCAGAATCGAACCTGGGACCTTTCAGTTCGCAGGCCCACTCTCTATCCACTGAGCCAAACTGTCTAGGGCAAGTGTGATGATTTTATATGGTGACTTTCTTTACTAGAATTGGTCATGTGGCTTAGCTTTTTTTTTTTTTTTTTTTTTTTAATATATTTTATTATTTTGTACAGAGAGGAAGGGAAAGAGATAGAGAGCTAGAAACATCGATGAGAGAGAGAATCATCGACCAGTTGCCTCTTGCACACCCCTTACTGGGGATATGCCCGCAACCAAGGTACATGCCCTTGACTGGAATCGAACCCGGGACCTTTCAGTCCCCAAGCCGACGCTCTATCCATTGAGCCAGACCGGTCTCGTCTGTGGCTTAGCTTTTTAAAAATTATTATTTAATCCCTGCCTCTGGTCTTTTTTTTAAAAAAAATATTTTTTATTTCAGAGAGGAAGGGAGAGGGAGCGAGAAATAGAAATATCAATGATAAGAGAGAGTCATTGATTGGCTGCGTCCTGCACACCCCCTACTGGGGAAGGAGCCTTCAACCTGGGCATGTGCCCTGACCGGAAATTGAACTGGGATCTCTTGGATCATAGGTTGATACTCAATCACTGTGCCACACTGGCTGGGCTCCTGCCTCCAGTCCATGAGGGAGTGGACCATTTGGGTCCTTCCAACTCAGCTCTTTTTATTTTGGTGTGCACACTGAAATTGTCCTGTTCAGTTAGCTCTTACTCCTTAAACATTAGACTGTGTGAACCTCCCACGCCCCCTAACAGGTCTGTAGTCTGGCTGCATGAACCTCAGGCGTTTTCTACCTCTGTTCACAGTAAAGAGGAACAGGGCTGGCCTAGAGGGATGCAGCCTTCTTTCTCAGCTGAGGCCTCACGTTCTCCTTCTTTTTCAGGGAGGACGGACAGCCCGTGGAGAAGGGGAGTGACACGATCCTGGCGTCCACCTTCTCCAAGTCTGGCAGCTATTTTGCTTTAACTGATGACAGTAAGCGTCTGATTCTTTTCCGTACAAAACCATGGCAATGTCTGAGTGTCAGGTATGAAATGCTAACGTTGAATAATTACCCTGTTGAACACACAACTTACACTTGCTTGCCAATAACAGTAGCGACTGTGACGATTCTAATACGCAACTAACACGTAGCTGTATGCCCAGGGCCTGTGACAGGGGTGGGGACATGGTTCTCGCTCTTAGCTCCTGGCCAGGAGCCTGGAAGCTGATCCCAGTCAGTTTGGGAGGGCAGAGTCAGCCCTGTCCCCTCATTCTGTCTTCCCCGAGGCTGCGGGGTTTAAGTGTCCCTTGATAATCAGGGAAAACACATGCCGGTTGTAATGTTTGAATTACTAAATGACCAAGATTAAGGAATTTCCCTTTGTGTCCCCATAGGGGACAGCTATGCTTTTAAAATTTTTATTTCATCTCATTTCCTAAGAGAAGAATAAAAAGCCAAATTCCAGGTAACATCACAAGCAAGGAATACCCTCTCTGCCCTGTGTTCCATTCAGGTTAAAAATAAAGCCTGGTAACAGTATTCCATTTTTATCTCATATGTGTTTTCATATATCAGGCAATAGATGACCGTAATAGATGACTTAACAGTTTTAAAAGACAAATTAAACAGAAGGATATAGGATGTACAGTGAATTGTAAATCTCCACCTCGCTCCAGTTCTCCCCACAGGCTGTTAGAATTTCCCCGTAGAAGAGTAACATAAAAGTTTGCTGCCATGTATGCAGGTTATAATTGATACTGAATCGCTTTTTGTAGCTGACCGCTATGAATTCACATCATCCTTAACTTGAAAGACCTGTTAGGCAGCATCTCCTTGCCCAAATAGCCTGGACATTAGCCAGTGTTCAGATTCTAGAAGATATGTGCTTTCAGGATTTGGGGTAAATACTACAAGGGGCCTTTGGGTCTGACTGAGCTTCTCAAACAGATCCTTGGACTTGGCCTTGGTTGTGAAGTGCTCCCTCAGCCTGTGGGAAGGAGAGGGATGTGAGGATGAGAAGCAAGTCAGAGAGAAGCAAGCCAGAGAGAGCAGTCACAGAGGATGGTAGCTGTCTTCCTCTGCTTGGGCCTCCGTGACAAACACCACAGCGTGAAAAACCCAGAGTGCTTCCTTACAGTCTGGTGTGGGGATTCTGAGATCAAATTGTCGGCAGGGTTTGCCCGGAGGCCTTTCTCCTTGGCTTGTAGATGGCTGTCCTCTTACCGCCTCCTCAGCACCGGCCCTCTGTGCCTGTGCCTATGCCTGTGTCCCTGGTGTCTCCTGGTGTTCCCGAACATAATAAATCTCACTTATCTGTAGGAGAAGTCCCAAAAATGAATCGTCTGGTCAAAAGATAGGTGCACTTGTAATCTAGGTAGAGAGTCCCAGATTCCTTCCCAAGGGCTCTGTCTCCGCCTCCCAGGTGTAAGGTGCTTTCCCACCCTGGCCAGCACAGGGGGTGTGGAACCTGTGACTAGACAGTCTGATAGAAGGAAGCTGGTGTCCTGTTTACGAAAGTGTGAGTGAGGGGAGCATATTTTATTCTTAAAAAAAAATATATATATATATATATATATATCTATATATCTATATATCTATATATATATATATATATATAGATATATATAATTTTTTTTCTTTTTTTTTTTTTTTTTTTTTTACTGAGAGGAAGAGATAGGGATAGAGAGTTAGAAGCATTGATGAGAGAAACACCAATCAGCTGCTTCCTGCACACCTCCTATTGGGGATGTGCCCGCAAACAAGGTACATACCCTTGACGGGATTCAAACCTGGGACCCTTCAGTCCGCAGGCTTTGGCTCTAACCACTGAGCCACACCGGTCAGGGCTATTCTTCAGAACCAGTGTCTTGTGCTCTGGCTTCTCAGAGTGAGCTTTGCTTCCCCCCTGGGCTGCTCCCTTCTCATTTGGTTATGTATCAGGGGACTCGGTTCTCATTCGAGGTAGAGGAGCCCACACACCGGTACTTTCACATGGCCTTTCGGTAGCTCGGCTGGAGAGAGCCGCTCAGGGCTGTGGAGGCGGGTGAGCCTGTTCCCGGCGCTTGTGGTGCCGGCATACTTTCCAAAGCCCGGGCCATGTCTGCTGCAGGCCTGTGGTCTCTGTGCGGCAGGACCTGGTCAGGGCAGCGTCGGCGTGGATGGGGTCCGGGAGGCGAGGACAGCTGCTTTGGGTCCCGCTGTGGGAATTGACAGCTCTCCCGCGGGCACGTCCTACTGCAGCTGCTTTAAACTTCACCTTGGAGTTCCGAGGAAAAGCTGAGAAGGAAGTTAAGGGTAGCAATGACATTTTTCAAGGTAAAGTTTAGAGTGACTAAGGGCAGGGAACCTGTGAACTGGGCAAGTCAGAAGGACTTCAGAACTGAGGCCAGAAAAACAAGGTTTTTGGAATAAAAAATGAGGACATGATGTTTTCTATTTTGGTATTTTATGTTTCTGTTGTATTCATGAGAAGTCTTACACACGAAACCACACCATTTTGTAAAACACCTGTCATCAAATGATAAAAGCCCCTGGAAAAGGCAGAGCCTCTGGACTTCAGCTCTGGGTTTGTTCTACCCACAGGGTCTGAAGATGGAGGAGTGGCTGCTGGGATGTGTGCTGTGGGGGAGCTTTTGAACCCAGGCACTCCATGAAGGGAGGGGAGGGTGCTGAGGCGCTGTGTAGCAGACCCTGTGTAGGAGACCCTGTGTAGGCGGAAGATTGCTGTGGCCTCTGCCTTCCCCAGGGTACTTTCCCCTGGGCAAGCCCAGAGGCCTCCTAACTGTCCTGTCCTATGACGTGCCCTTCCTCTCCCTTCTGCTACCCGACTCCCCTGGACCCAAACCCCTAAACCTACTCTGTAAGGCCCAGCTGCATCCTGGAATCATGGCCAGGCCCAATTTAGCCTGAGCAGCCGAAAGCCGCCATCTGGTGCGAGACAAAGGGACATGATGCGGAGTCTGGCAGGAGCTGGTGGGAGGGGTACTGTGTGGGGGGTGGGGTGAAGGTGGGGCTGGATTCTCGGGTGGCTGAGCTCCTTGGATCCCAGCCCAGCACTCTGGAGGACTGTTCTAGCTGCTCCAGAGCGTGCGGCTGGGATGTCACAGCTGCCTAGGTGGCTTATTAGAATGGGCACAGCCATTGTTGAATCACAGGGCTGGGCGAATTTTGAGGGATCTTACCCGGAGCCTGATTGTCTCTCTTGTCATTGCTTTTGCCATGTGTATTGTGCTCCCACCTGCGGTCCTCAGGCCTGCTGGCTCCTCTGGCAGCGAGGCCTGGGCGGTGCCCTCCGGTCTTTCTGTCCGTGTCCCTGTGCTCCTCAGAAGCACAGGGGCCTGTGTGGATGGTGTGTCAGGGTCGTAATTCCTTTAGGCTTAGTTTCCATTTCAGGCTGACACCAGTTCCACATGCTGGGCGCACGGCCTGCAGGGCTGTTGCAGGCTCTTGCATTGACCGGTGTCAGTCTGTCAGCCAGCCTGGGGCATCTCTCTGGCCTCCTAGGACCGTGGTGAGGAGGTGCACGGCCCTGACCTTCACGGCCTCTGAGGAGAAGCTTTTGGTGGCAGACAAGTCTGGGGACGTTTACTCCTTTTCAGTGCTGGAGCCGAATGAATGCGGAAAACTTGAACTTGGGCACCTGTCAATGCTGCTGGATGTGGTATGTGGTGGTCAAAGTGCTTATTAACTCTGCTGTGGTCGGGCTCAGAAGGAGGTGGGGCGGGGGTAGGGGCGGGGGTATGCGCTGGGCGTCTGGGTGGGTGCGGGTCCTCCAGTGGCAGGGACAGCCTCTGCAGATACATGAGCAGGAGGATTGGGATCCAGGGACATGAGGCTGACAGCAGGGCGAGTGAGGAAGGCGCTGGGTGGTTCCGGATGTGAGGTCAGCCCAGGTCAGGGTGATGCGGTGGAGGGGTGCAGTCACGAGGTCAGAGTTCATCCTTCAGGCTTCGCGGGCATCTCTATGGTGTCCTCCCAACTTCTGAGCCAGGAGCTGTAGCCATGGGCGGGTTCCCACGAGGACACGCAGGTATAATGGGGGAGTCAGGACTTGGCGACAGTGAAATAGGAGTGAGAAGAGATGACTCCGGTGCTGAAGACAGGAAGGCCTGGGAGACAGGAAGCCATGGGTGGCAGTCAGGAACTGTGTTGAGATGGTTCTTCATGGATATGGAATGGGGGCTGGAGATAAGAGGTCAGGGGGGGGTGGAGGGGAGTGGCGCTGGCTGTCCCGTGACTGGATCTGTCCTTTCTCACCCCTCGCACAGGCCGTGAGTCCTGACGACCGCTACATCCTCACCGCCGACCGGGACGAGAAGATCCGGGTGAGCTGGGCCTTGGCACCGCACAACATCGAGTCCTTCTGCCTGGGGCACACCGAGTGAGTCTCCTCTGCCTGGGCTGGTGTCTGGGGCGGGGTGATTCCTCAGGCTGAGGGACAGCTGGTCTGAGCCTGGCCCCTGGGCGGATTGCTGCTCCTCCATCCCCTACGGTCTTCCGTGTCCCCCCTTCCACTCCCCCTCCCACCCCCGGCATGGAAGGTGGCTGGTGCTGTGTGCGGGCAGCTGAGGAGCACGGGGCTGTCCAGCAGGGTGGCTGGGCCTCATTGGGTCTGGGGGCCCGTGGTGGAGGCTGTTGTGTTGTTGGGTTCCTGAGAAGACACGCCAGCGAGCTCCCAGCCTCCGCATCACTGTCCACACGGCCACGTTACATGTTAATCATCAGTTTTGTTGGCGGTCAGGGGTTTGGGAGCTCAGGCTTGTCTCGGAGGTGACGGGTCGTGCGGCGGTCACAGCAGCGGTGGCTCACTCTGCTTCTCTGTGCTGCAGGTTCGTGAGCCGCATCTTCGTGGTGCCCGACCACCCTGAGCTGCTGCTGTCCTCATCCGGGGTGAGTGCCGCTCTGTCACGGGCCCTCTGGGTTCCCCTGTGGTGACGGAGCAGGAGCCGTGCTCGCAGCCATGAGCTTGTCCTTTGTTCCCAGTCGTGGCTTGGAAGTCAGTGTTCCTTTTTCACTGGTGGCCGGCCACTAGGTGGCGCTTGTTTTCTGCATTTTAGAGCTGGCTGGGCCTTGCTCCTGCTGTGGCTGTGAACCTGGCTGTGTGTACATAGATCTGTGTGTGTAGAGCTAGAGGGTCTTGTGCAGGGAGTCCGTTCTAAGGGCTATAGTTACATCTGTAATAACACTGTGATCTCACTTCAAACAGTTGGTAGAGGAAGAGGAACCCTTTCTGAGTCTTACAGGGACCTGGATTTGGTCACCATTGCTGCTGGCACATGCTTAGTATCCCATGTATTTCTCCTCGTGCAAATGCCTGATCATTGATGTGCCCATGTGTATGCTCATATGTGTGCATATATGTCCCCAATATAGCCTGGCATGTGACATCATGAAGCCATGTGTCCTTTGCTCATTTTGCTGTGTGTGGCTACCCATTTTTCTTTCTATAAAAATACTTTTTTTTCTTAAAAATATTTTTTAAAATGTATTTTTATTGATTTTAGAGAGGAAGGAAGAAGGAGAGAGAAAGAGAGAGAGAGAGAGAGAGAGAGAGAGAGAGAGAAACATTAGTGATGAGAGGATCATTAATTGGCTGCCTCTTGCACACCCCCTGCTAGGGATTGAGCCTACAACTCAGGCTTGTGCCCTGACCAGGAATTGAACCATGTGCTATGATGGTTCATAGGTCAATGTTCAGCCAGAGTTACACTGGCCAGGCCCATTTTTCTGAATGACTTGCATGACTCTTTAGAGCACATGTGTCAAACACAAGGCCCGCGGGCCAAATCCGTCCCGCCAGGCCTTGCACTGTGGCCCGCACCGCGCTGTCATCACTGCACTCCGCTGTGTTTCCATTACAATGACAGTTTATAACTGTTCAGTAAACCATTCGGCCTGCGATTTAGGCTGGATTTTAGATTTTGGCCCCTTCTCTGATTGAGTTCGACACCCCTACTTTAGAGCAAAGAGCCGTTCATTATCCCATTTACCATCCCCACGACCTGGGGAAGCCTGGGTGCTTGGGAGGGTGCCATGCCCTGAGAGGTCTGCTGACCTGTCCTTGTGTGCAGGACTGCACCCTGAGGCTCTGGGACTACAGACGTGGCCAAGAGCTGCACTGCTGTCACCTGACCAGCCTGCAGGAGCCAGCGGGGCCCTGGAGCGACAAGGTAACCGCATTTGTCTGGGTTTGGGGGCTGCAGGGCGCCTCTCCAGGCACTCGGATATAGAGAAGAAAAAACGTTCTATGTTGGAAACATTTCTCTGCTGTTAGTGCAGCTGGAACTTTTCCAGCTTGGGCGAAATCATGTATTTCAAATTCTAGGCAGCTAGTCAAGTAAGTGGGCAATAATTTATATTCTTACCGTGTTTGCATTTGAACAACTAATTATAGAAAGGCCTCTAATCCACTTGGAAATGGAAAAAACAGTGGGGCCAGAGCAGAGAGCCTGCCTGTGGTTTTATCAGTGGGCGGCCGGCTGGTACCCACCCAGCATTCTGTTGTCCGTCATGGATTAACCTCATGACCCCCCCAGTTCAGGTTGCCTGGGTATTTGGTTGCCACGGAGATTTCCAGGGAAAAGTGTGGGCTGCCTTTCAGAATGCCGAGGATTCTGTGCTCGTGGACACCCAGCTCTGATGCTCCTGAGCTGGTTCTGTGCAGCCAGGGTCCAGGCTGGTCACATGTGGAGGGCCCTGCCAGCTTCCCAGAGGCCCGGTGGGGAGGGAGGGAAGGACTGTCACGTCTACTCAGGCCGACAGAGCTGGGTACCCTCTGCCTGTCCCCAGGGCACCATGCCCTTTCCCCTGCAGCCCCATGTGGAATCTGCTCTCCCGCATGTCTGATAAGACCTGGGTGTGAAGTGCAGGGCTTGTCGGCTTGGCTTCTCATTTCCGTTGTCTGCTCTGAGACACTATGGCAGCTGCCCTCACAGGCCCTCAAAGGGGGCAGGCTGGGCCTGACCCAGGCCAAGGTCCCTCGGCCCCCTAGGTGAGCACCAGCTGTTCTGTGGCCCTACGGCACCTCCTGCTGGCTCTCTGCAGTCATGGAAGCTGCAGCAAACAGGCCTGACTTTTTCCTGCTGACTCCTCATCTGTGTGCCTCACTGACCCTGGTGCTCCAGCAGCGAGGTTGATGTGAGCTCTTTCTAAAGGGAACACCGGCCGGCTGGTGCGCCGGCCTGCAGGACCGGGGGCAGCCCTGCCTCAGCGCCTGGCTGCTCGGGCCTTTGGATGCAGGCCCTTTCCTTTCCATTTCTGACTGGTGCCCAGTGTCTCATTCTTGCTGGACTTGTGGGCACCTGTAGGGCGATTGTGTCTGTTCTGAACAGTCCCCTTCTTTTCCACTTGTGTTCTCTGTTCCCTTCGTTCTTGCTTTTTGACCGATTCCGTTGGCTTTGGAGACATTCTGCTGTCCGGAGGGAGGGCCAGACCATGGAGAGGCTTTTGCCACGTGCCCAGCATGTGGGCGTTACTGTGAAACAGGAAATCAGCCCTTTTCTTTTTTTTTAAATTTTAATTTATTTATTATTTATTTATTTTTTAAAATATATTTTATTGATTTTTTTTTTTGCCCCCCTCCCTGTTTTTTCTTTTTTAAAAATACTTTTATCTATTTCAGAGAGGAAAGGAGAGAGAGACATCAATGATGAGAGGGAATCACTCATCGGCTGCCTCCTGTACACCCCATACTGGACATCAAAGCCTGCCACCCCAGGCATATGCCCTGACTGGGAATCAAACCGTGACCTCCTGGTTCACAGGTCGATGCTCAATCACTGAGCCACACAGGCCGGGCAAGGCCTTGCCTTTCTTTTCCCCCCTGTAGTTTGCAGAAAGTTGTGACACTGTTTTCTCTCTCATCCGGGAGCTCAGTCTTGCAGCACGTGCTCAGTGGGAGCAGTACAGGCCAGCGTTGGTCCATGACATGCAGTTAAGCTGCTGCTTTCCTTGCAGAGGTTTGCCGCATCCAGGATCGCTTACTGGAGCCGGGACAGCTGGGTGGCGCTGCTGTGTGATCGGTAAGCTCACTGCTCTGGTCCCCTCCAGCCGTAAGGGAGGGAATGCATGGATTGTTCCATTGGCCCCATTCTGTCTCCTAAATCGGAGGTTTTGGTTGGTGTATTGGGACCACAGCTCCCTGTGGGGGCGGGGTGTGTGTCTCCCTTTCTGAGGTTGCTGTGTTTGTGGGTGAGGGTTCCAGAGGCAGGCAGTCTTTGACAAGCTGTTTAAACCCACGGCTTAATGGACGTAAGGCCTCGGACGGGCCACAATCTCTCTAAGGGTGGATTGTGGCAGAGGCTGCCTCAGTCAGTCCCGCTGGGAGCGGTCTCAATAGACCCGCCTGAAGGCCATTGGCTGGTGAGATGGATTAGGTAGCACATCCCTTAGCTCTTCCTCCTGAGCATCTTCTCTGCTCCTCACTTGTCCTCATAACAAGTCTAGGGAGGGCATCTTAGCTTGTCTTGGAAATAAGGGCGCAGTTTTAGAGACGGTGAGAGTGCCTCCAGGAAGTGTCCTGTCCGCTGCCTGCAGGTGGGCTGTCCTGGCTCTGTATTGGCTGTCTTTGTTGTGTAACAAGTGACCCCAGGACTGGTGACTCGGATGTTCCTTACCTCAGTGGCTCAGGGTCTAGGGGGTGCTTCTAACTCAGGGTCTTGTGCAGTTGCAGCCAGAAAGTGTCTCTGGCTCGGGCAGGCCCGGCTGAGGCTGAGCTGCTGGCGGTGTGGGCTGTGGGAGTTGTAATGATCGCCCTCTCTTTCTCGCGGGAAGTGTCCCTGTGGTCTACATCTTCCAGCTGGAGGCCCCCGGGCGGCAGCTGGTGTACAAGCAGCAGCTGTCTTTCCAGCACAGCGTGTGGGACGTTGCTTTCGAGGAGAGCCGGGGGCTGTGGGTGCTGCAGGACTGCCGGGAAGCCCCCCTCGTGCTCTGCAGGCCTGTGGGCGGCCAGTGGCAGGTGAGTTGTGCGGGGCCCCTCTCCCCTGAGCCTGGGGCGGGGGCAGGGCCAGAGCTCTCACACCTTTCAGCTGACCGAGCCTTGATGCCAGTGGGTGGGTCCTGGGACTTGTGACCTGGGAGAAGCGAGCTGGGTCCTCGGCTATCTTGTCCAGTGTCCTGAGCCTGCGGTGGCCTTTTGGGAGGCTCACCATCCCAAACTGGCATGTTTTCTCTGTTCCTGTCCTGGTCACACTTTTTGTTTTATTTTATTTTGTTAATTTTAACCAGAGAAGCTGATACTTGTGTCATCCTTAAGTTTGCAGCTTAGCATGGCCTTGCGCCTGGGGCCGTGGCCCCACTGGTTAGAGGAGCCGCTGGGTTTGGAGGAAGAGTGTGAATCCCGCCCCTTCTCTGAGTCATCCCCACATCCTTGAAGTGGGGCGTCCTCTCCTCCCTGTCCGTGCCTGGCAGGACTGCCGTGGGGAAGGATGGGAAAAGCGTGCCTTTCCTGTCCTCACAGACGCTCGCTTGGCCAAGTGGCCTCAAGAACCACTGAAGCTTACAGGGGTTTTATCTGGACAGTGGCAGAGAACAGAGTGCCAGGCTTCGTAGATAAAGTCACAGCCAACAAGCCAGTACGTGAGGTGCCAGCAGCCCTCGTGCCATGGCTTTTATCCTGACAAGATGTGGCTGCTGTGTTCGGTGAGCCGGCTTCACCTGGTCTCATGTAGGTTCACAGGGTCTTCCCAGGCCCACAGTCCGGACCGCAGGTCTGCCCATTGTGCCGGCAGCACCTTCTGATGCAGGTTTTCCCTTTGCCTCCAGCCTGTGCCTGAAGACTCCGCGGTGAGGACCGTCTGCACGCAGCTCCGCGGGCACTGGGCCATGCTGGAAGGTGAGGGCCGGCCTGTGTTTCTGGGAAACATCGACAAAGCAGATTTTAGGACACTGATTCAGGAATCTGTGTTTTAACAACTCCACCAGGTGATTCTCATCATGAGAGAAGGTTGGGAAACACTGATATAGGGTGTATGGGGCCTCATGCAGCTGGGCCCGAGCTGAGCTTAATTGTCCTAAGAGGCTCTGCAGATGAACACCTGCTTGCAGTGCAGGCCGGTGGAGCTTGGCGAGGGCATGCGGAAGGTGAGTTCACCCGAGAGAGCTGGGATGTCACTCCTGCGGGCCGATGAAGGTCAGGCCTGTGCATCCTTGACGGGCCTTGTGGCGTTCCCACCAGCTGAGGGGTCTCAGGAATAGCGGGAGTTGGTGTTCTCTTAAAAGTGAGTCAGATCCAGCTGTGCGGTTACCAGTGGGGGCCTCGTGAGAGTCACCTTGGAGAAGGTGCCGGAGTCCACAGAAACTGGGTGGATTCCCTGCTGCAGGAGGGTCTGGCAGGCCCATCAGATCCCGCCGTTAGAGGCGGTGGCCCACGATGTCCTGCGTCACTGTCCCACTGGCATCCACTCTTTTTTCCCCCCCGCACAGGCGCTGCCAGCGTGGACGAGGGCTTTAGCAGCCTGTACAAGGCCACCTTTGACAACGTGACCACTTACCTGAAGAAGAAAGAGGAGAGGTTGCAACAGCAGCTTCGAAAGAAGCGGCATAAGAACCCGCCCCCTGGGCCCAACGGGCAGACCAAGAAGGTGAAGGCCGGGGAGGCGTCCTGGAGTGGCTCATCCTAGCCCTGGTGATGGCTCTGACCTCGAGAAGCAGAGAAACTTTAACTTGCCCCCTCCTTGCCAGCAGCTCCCTGTGAGGGAAAGGGGCACATCACTGCCTACTCCGCTTGGTGGCAGTGAGGTCCATACAGCTCCCAGACTCCTGGGCTGGCCCAGTAACTGAGGGTGTCCCGGGCTCTAGAACATTCTGTCGCTGAGCAGAGGTGTCTTGAGCATCCTCTGGTTGCCCGGAAGCCGGATGGAGAGACCTGCAGGTGAGCAGCTCGGTGCCGGGAAGCACTCCATCTTCATGGTGGGGGACCTGAGAACCGTTCCCTGGCACTGGTTGGTTTTTCTGCTCTTCCCATAATGCACCCTTCCCTCCAGGGAGTCCATACAGTTGGTGTCACAGTGGCGTGAGGGGCATTTGCATTTTCCCATCAGCGGTCTTTCTGGAGGGTGGATGGCACTCTCCGCAGCGCTGTTCCCTACACAGGCCGTCAGCCTGAGCAGCAGGGAGTCTCAGTGCCCCCCCAGCCTGGCATGTGTCCGCCCCATGCAGCGAGGGCTCCTGCTCGGCTGCAGGCGTGCAGGCTTGGCGGGCGCAGCGGAGAACTGGACTGTCTCAGGACACGAGCACATGTAGAATGGGAGATCTGCAGGGAAATGCTTGATGACACGTGCATTGATTGATTTGAACTTTGGGCACACGTCACAGAGAGCAGGGTGTCAGCGGAATTAAATCGCCAATCAATAAAGATGAGCTTTTGCAGCTTCTGAAGTGTTTAGCAGCAGCATGTGGAACTAATTTCAGAATGCACTGAGCAAAGCCGTGTTTGATGAGTGTACTGTTTGTGACTGAGCAGCTCACGCTTTGATTTGAAGAAAGCGTTCTTCGGTGTGGGTTTCATGAGGTCCGTGGAAACAAATCGTTCTGTGTATCAAAGCCGGAGTGCTTCACTTTTCCCTAAGTGCCTTCTTTTTCTTTGATCTGAAAACTACTATTTGTGCTTGCTCAGGATCGCTTCCCTCAGGAGCAGCCCCAAGCGAGGGGTCAGGAGCAGCGGGTGGTGCTCAGGCGGAGGGGGGGTGGGGTGAAATGGGGCCCCCAGGGTAGAGGGGGCTGCCCGGGCCATGGTTCCCCCGCAGGAGGGGCTGCCTGTTAGCACTGCGTTGGGCCCAGGGTGTTCTCATAAAACTGCTTTGAAATTCTTGGTTTTAGGAGAAATTTAGGTTTGGTCTAGTTAATGCCGTGGCTTAAGACTGGTCAGCAAACTGGCCTGCAGACCAAATCCCGTCCGCTCCTGGTTGTACAGCCTCCGAGCTAAGAATGGTTTTCACAGTTTTAAATGTCTGTAAAAGATCAAAAGAAGGAGGGATCGAGGGATCGAGGGATCGAGGGATCGAGGGAGAGAGGGAGAGAGGGAGAGAGGGAGAGAGGGAGAGAGAGAGAGAGAGAGAGAGAGAGAGAGAGAGAGAGGAACATCAGTGATGAGAGAATCATTGATTGGCTGCCTCCTGCATGCTTCCCCTCCCCTCTTACCCCCTGCACTGGGATCAAGCATGTACTCTGACTAGGAATATGAATGGTTCATTGGCCAATACTCAGCCACTGAGCCACACTGACTGGGCAAAGGTTTTAAATCCCTTGGTTTTCTCACACACTCCTAATGGTACTTTTCTCACTTTTTTGATTCTTTTTTGGTTTCTACCTGCTTTACTTTGGGGAGATTCCTTGAGCTTTGTCCCAACTCATTTATTTCTGTATTTTTAATATTAAATTTTTTCAATTGATTGATTTTTAGAGAGAGGAAGAGAGAGAGAAATATGAGCTTGTTGCACGTATTTATGCATTCATTAGTTGATTTTTGTATGTGTCCTGACTGGGATCAAACCCACAGCCTTGGCATACCAGGTCGATCCTCTGACCAACTGAGCTACTCTGCCAGGGCCCACCACATTTATTGATTTTAAAAAATCGGGTTATATTTCTTAATTCTAAGGACTCTAGTTCTTTTTTCATTTTGATTCAAGTGCAGTATACAAGAAGGGCATCTGGGATGCACAAACTGAAATTTCATTGGACACGCATGTAACAGTCTCCACCAGAAACAGGACATTTACCCACAGCTGAGAGGTCCCCAAGTTCCTTCTTACACCCCTCTCCGCCCTCCCCAGTGAAGGTCGGGCGATTTAACAGGTTAGTTTGCTTTGGCTCAGGTGTTTGGGTGAGATTCCTTTATACTGCTGCACGGTTGTACATTGTTCATTCTTGCTGCCTAGTATTCCCACATGCGGAAATACGACCGTGTATCCAGTCTACCTCAGCTGGCATTTGAATTGTTTCCAAACTGGCTGCAGGGAACATTCTGGTCCTTGTCTTTGGAACATATGTAAACATTTCTGTCCGCTGTATGTTTAGGAGTGGGATTGCTGGCCCACAGTTCTGTTTAGCTTGGACGATGCTCCTATCCTTGTTAATTCTAACCCTCCACAGCACGTAACATCTGGTGCGTTCTCATGCTCTACGTTTGAGGTGATGATGTTGAATTTGGCAAAGCCACAAACCTGAGAGCATGGGAATCAGTGAAGCTGCCCACCTGTCTGTCAAACTGAAACTTGACCTTGCTCTGGGCAAGGTCACCTTAAAAACAGCGTGGATGGCCCACTTTGGGGGATGCCAGCCATAGGTCCTGAGAACACTCCAGCAGCCTGTGAGGAGGTCAGCATGGCAAGGAGCTGGGATCTCGTGCCGACAGCCAGCGACGGACCACCCGGACTGAGCCGTCTTGGAAGAGCTGCTTTCTGTACACAGAACACCGTGGGTTCCTCTGAAGCACCATTTCCTCGAACCCTTATGTGCTGACATGTATTCTTTCTAATTTCCCTTCTATTTCTTTGATCTGTGGGTTATTTGGATGTATGGTTTAATTTTCAGACATTTGATTCTTTTATCTTCTCGTTGCTGGTTTCTGGTTTTAATTCCATGGTGGTCTTAGGATATATGTTGATTTCATTCCTTTAAAATTTACTGAGCTTTGTTTTCTGTTCACAAATGGTGGTTATTTTATGTGCCCTTGGAAAGAATGTGTCTGAGTTGTTGGCCGGAGTAGTGTTCTGTAAATGTGGATTAGATTAAGTTGGTGATATCAACATGAAAACTACCATCTTCCTCATTTTGTGCACGTCTGTTATTGAAAACAGCATTTAAATGTCTGTAAGTGTAGTTTTACCTAATTTTCCATTGTCTTCCTGGTTTTGCTTCATGGATTTAAATATTCTGATATTTGGTTTGTACACACTTGGGGATTTGTTATCTTGAGGAATGACCCCATCTTCATGAAACATCCTCTCTTTATTTCCAGTTCTGTTCTTTGCTCTGAAGTACAATATAAATAATGTTAATGTAGCCACTTCAACTTTCTTTCGATGTGTGTTAGCATGGAATTTCCCTTTTCACCCTTTTTTTAACATGTATGCCTTTATACTTAAAGTGGGCTATTTGTAGACCATATGCCCTTAAAAAAATCAAAACACCCCAGCCTGGCCGGTGTGGCTCAGCAGTTGAGCATTGACCCAGAACCACGAGGTCTCCAGTTCAATTCCCGGTCAGGGCACATGCCCGTGTTGCGGGCACCATCCTCAGGAGGGGGTGTGCAGTAAGCAGCTGAGTAATGATGTTCTTCTCATTGATGTTTCTATTTCTCTCCCTCTAAAAATCAACTAAAAACTTTTTAAAAAAGAAATTAGTTAAAAAAAATCCAACCCCAAGTCATTGGATTTCAATGGAAATACATTCTGAACCATATGTAGTTGGAAGCATTCCAGCTTTGCAAAGTGTTTAAAAAGCAGGTGAAATAATTGTGACAACACAGTTCATCTAAGTCAGTACAGCACAAATAGTCTCAACAAATAAAGCCTAGGTGGGGTTATGAATGAGCTACTTTATGCCCTCTTTTTAATGCTCATTTGGCAGGTTTGCCTTATCTGTGCAGCTCCCCTTTGCAGGCTCTGTCCCAAATTCGAATTGCCTCGGCCTCCCAAATCCAGTCGGTCTCCCCTTGTTTGGCTTGTCCTCCTTGGGCTGCGGTCAGCATCCTTTCCAGGCCCAGATCCTCAAGGGTAAGCAGCTGAGTGGGAGGTTGGTTCCTCACCATTGTCTCCCATGGTCCTTGTTGCGATTTGAATTTATGTTTATCTTGTGACAAATGAGTTAGGATGTCTCTTTATTTATTTTTAAAACATTTTTATTGGTTTCAGAGAAGAAGAGAGAGAAACAATGATGAGTGAGAATCACCAGTTGGCTGCCTCCTGCATGCCCCCTACTGGGGATCAAGGCTGCAACCTGGGCATATGCCCTTGACAGGAATCAACCTGGGACCCTTCAGTATTCATGCCTACGCTCTATCCACTGAGCCAAACCAGCTAAGGGTTGGGCATCTGTTCTTTGAATGCTCTTTATAGTCCCTTTTGCACAGTTGCTTTTTTTTTTTTCTTTTTAGAGGACGGCTGATTGAAGGTGATCTTTTTACTCTACACCTGCTGTATGAATTGCAAATTTTTTCCAGTTTGATTTGGCTTTTTCAGTGTTCTCTTAATACAGACTTTTTCATAGTCAAATTTATTCATCCTTTTGTTTGTGCTCTCTGGGTACCAGGAAGGTTTTTCTCCACTCCCTCCACTTTTGAAATGCCCCCCCTTATGAAGGGGAGACAGAGTGTGGGACTGAGGACAGAAACAGGTCCACCTGATATGAGGTGGCGACCAGAGGCTGGTGGGAAGTGAACTTATGGGAAGACTGATTTCCACATCAGAAGCCAGTTAGGGCCTAGCCGGTTTGGCTCAGTGGATAGAGCATCAGCCTGTGGACTAAAGGGTAGGGTTCAATTCTGGTCAAGAGCATGTACCTTGGTTGCAGGCTCCTCCCCAGGCCAGGCCCTGGTTGGGGCACATGCAGGATGCAACCAATCGATGTTTCTCTGTGTCGCCCTCTTCTATTCTCCCTAAAAAAATCACTGGAAAAATATCCTTGGGTGAGGATTAACAACAAAAAAAGCCATGTAGGTCCCCCACCCCCTGTAAAGCTGGCTTTTTACTGGTGAGATGGAATTGAAGGGATGCTGTAGGATTCTCAGTGGTTGAGGCAGAAAATTACAAGCCCTGATTGAGTATTATGTTTTGCTGGTTTCAATTACGTGAAAAAGAAGTGAAAAAAAAACCCCAAAAAATAAAGCTGTTTTCATGGCTCCTCTGGGCTGTGTTTTGCTGGCTTGACTGGGACGGAAGATGGAGAGAAAAGAGCAGAGGACCCGTGGCTAGGACAGTGAGAAAGACAAGATAAGAGTTCCTGTGTGCCTGCAGCTCGGGGCCGACCCTTTGAGGTCTGTCCTTGGAGGTGACTGGCTCACATGACCATCAGCTGAGAGATCAAAGGGATAGTGACATCCGTCCTAAGTCATTGGCTCAGGGGTTGGATGGAAGGTAGTGGAGTGGCTTTTAGGACGTCGCAAAGGCGCTGCTTCACACATTTTGGCCCCAGTGGCTTGTCCTGCAAAGCGAACAAGGAAGATACTGCCCTTGACTTGAGATCATGTGGGTATTTGCCTCAATTCTCCAGCTTTTTTCTTTTTAAATATATTTTTATTGATTTCAGAGAGGAAGGAAGAGGGGGAGAGAGATAGAAACATCAATGTTGAGAGAGAATCATTGATCGGCTGCCTCCTGCATGTGCCACACTGGGTGTTGATCCTGCAACCTAGGCATGTGCCCTAACTGGGAACTGAACT